TATTCATGAAGCAAGTAGGGAATGCGTATGGTTGAGATCAATAATTTATTTTATTCGAGAAAAATATGATTTGGAATGTGAGAAAAGACCCACAATTTTATACGAAGACAACGCTGCATGCATAGCTCAATTGAAGGGAGGATTTATAAAAGGAGATAGAACGAAGCACATTTTACCAAACTTATTCTACACGCATGATCTTCAGAAAAATGATGACATTGATGTGCAACAAATCCGTTCAAGTGATAATCCGACAGATTTATTCACTAAATCTTTACCAACTTCAACTTTTGAGAAGATGATATACAAGATTGGAATGCGGAGACTTAAATATTTGAAACAAGGTTTTCATCAGGGGGAGTAAAATACGCGATGTATTCTTTTTTTCTTACTAAGGTTTTCCCACAGGGTTTTTCTTATAAGGTTTTTAATGAGGCAGCTAGCAATGCGTATTACTAAATATGTGTAATCTTTTTCCTTCACTAGGATTTTTTTCCACTGGGTTTTTTACTAGTAAGGTTTTAACGAGGCACAATACCTTTTTAATGAACATCCAAGGGGGAGTGTTATGAAAATAATTATATTGTGGATGTCCATTTATTACTCCGCTATAGATAATCTTTCTGAAAAAGATTATCCATTTAGTACTCTGTTGAAATTTATCTACAAGCAGCTGATGCAGGCAGGTTGCAAACATCTCAATGAAATGATTTGCAGCAGCTTCTTATTAAACAGGCAGGTTACAAGCAGCTCATGCAGACAACTTACAAGCAGCTAAAGAAAAGCCTTGCATCTGCTTCCTGAAAAGCCTCGCAGCTGCTTCTTTTCTTCTATAAATAGATGAGTTTTCAGTTCATTATGTACATAAGTTTTAAGTTTGAATAATATCAGTTTCTCTCTATACTTGTCTTTACTTTACTGTCTTTATTTTATAATACATTTAATATATATAGTCCTTTTAGTTTACTGTAACTAGTTACGTTACCTCTATTTGCTATATTTTAAAATAGCGATTTTAACCATAACTTCAACTACATTCTTTTGATTTCTTGATAGCTGGAAGTTCTCCAAGTCTTTGAAAAATTAATCAAAAAAATTGTAGAAGAAAATAAAACATATCAATTCAGAATAATTTTCTTGAAAATATATACGTGTAATGACATGAACTACTGCAGATGGATGGCGACTAAATGACTAACACAACCAAGTTAATTTGATATTAATGGATATCCTAATTAATTCTACACACGTGAAGCATAGCAAATTAGCCTAATTTTATGCATCACTTAAATTCCTTTGACTACCACAACAGATAATAATCCTGACCTTATGGAAACACACGACAGAAACGAAAAGGGTCACAATGAACACAACTAACTAACTAACTATATATATATATATATNAAAAAGATTCATGATTACTGATGTGTAAAAAATGAAATAATTGTCAATAATTACGAGTAAATCTCTATAAAAAACATTAATCGATAACTTGATAAAAATAATAAGTCACCAGCTATGATCCGTTAAACCACATTGATAGTTCAAAAATCTTTTGAGAGCCAGATATATGTAACTAAAACAAATATGTTACATGCATATATTAGAAGCTACAGCTGTAAGTAGTTTCTGGTTTCCGGTAAACTAGGGAATCGTAGTCCCTACCTTTTGGGTAAGTTGTGGGTAAATTCCGCACTAGTATAATAACTTTACAAATTACACTGGTAAAGTAAACCACAAAGGTTCGTGCGATGAGTTCGACCGAGAAAGCATATGGGATTTCGAACTTACGATCAATTGGGATCTCCTGCTCAACCAACTCGGCTAACCTCCCGGATGCTGCTGCTTGAAAATTAAACAAAGTAAATTAGCAACCACTTGACATTTTTTTTTACCTAACTTAGAGCATGTTGAAATGCATAATGAGATCATGTGCTCGAGCCAAGACAAAACCCACGTCTCTTACATTCCTTTTGCATTTCACATGATTCAATGATTCTTAATTGTATGTGCATCCAAATAAGCCTGCATCTATAAGATTCTAAAAAGGGTACCTACACTTAAAAATGGTAAATAATTGCTAGCTGGATTAAATTTGAAGCATGCTAATTTGAAGGGTGGAGCTTCGTTTGTAAACCAACACAAAGGCATAAGTAAACTTGCTTTTCAGCATTTTTGAAAAGGAGAGGTGCTGATCATGCCAACAGATTATAGTGGATTTCTTTAATTTCTTTAGTTTTCAATATTTAGATTCTAGTCAAATAAGTACACGCCATAATGTCAAAAAGTACAATTATTAGATCAGTCTACATTATTTGAAAAAAGCTGGGGTGTTCTTTATGTTATTAACTTATTATATCTAGATATTTGAACTATTTATTGAATTTCTATTTTAAATAATATATTTTCATAATCATCATGTTTTTAAATATATCTTTTCATTTTTCTTCTTCTTTTTAAATAGTAAAAATAAAAGCTCATCGAGCTCTTGTTCCATGATGTCGATATTGTCCACTATAAGTAAAACACCTTGCTTTGTGCCCTCCGTCTATTAAAAAAAATATCATACGTTTGACCTTAAAGTATCTTATAAAAACTGACCACCAAAAGGTTTAATAATGGTTCCCCATCATAATAACAAAGTGGCCAAGAGGTCATTAACTCGAACAAAATATATAATGTCTGAAGTTGAAATTTTTAGTGGCATCTTGATTCTTTTAGTAATCTAATTTGATTTTTCCTAACCCCCATAGGGTGAAATTAAAATAAGAAACAAAAAGAAAGGGAAAAACTTTTAACAGTACTGCTGTACGTAAAAGGTTTTGTACTATACTACTTAATTAGTACTTAATAATGAATTTAGCCCCAGCATGTATTTATGGGTAGGTGCAATCTGGAAAAAGATCGACTGAACACCGAAAGGCTTTTAAGTACTGTCATTTCCTAGTGAACAATTAACTTTGAACTGATCCCTAGGATGATTCCTAGAATTTCCAAATAAAAGCATATACTATATTCGTCTTCGTACCCACTTGAATTTTTGACTGGCATTTCAGTGGGAAACAACTCAAAGTCCAGACGAAGAATTGCTCTCTTCCTTGTTAAGTTTACTCAATTTGGGTCTAAACTTGTAAGTGCCTAAGATGATGTCTATTTAACCTATTGTATATTTAAAAATTCTACAGGTTGGAACTCAGTTAATTAGCACTAATTCTGGTCCCATAAACACCAAACTAAAGCAAGTTGAATAGTGAAAAAAAGAATGCAATTTTAAATTGTAACATGGTATAGAGTAAAACGTTAAATTTTGCACGCAACATGAAATGTTGAAAACCGGACAACCTAGTTAAAAAGTAGATTTAGAATTTAAATCAGTGGATATGAAATACCACTGCACTCACTTTTCCGGGAAGAGATGATTTGACAATAAATAACTTAATACAGTCACTTTTCTATAACCGTCATACTTTATATATAACGATACTTTATTATAATAGCCAAATTTTTTTTGGACCCAATTTTTCATGTTTATTTATAATATATGTTTTTTACCATATATAGCACTTCACATAACAGTAAAACAATACCGGAACATGCAAAACTATTATAAAGAAATCTTGACCGTGTTATATTCGTTTAGTTTGCGAAGTAAGGTCATTATCAATAGGTGATATGATTATGAGTTTAGCCCGTAACTTCACTTCTACTCCTATACTGTTTTACAAAAATGAAGTTGCAATCCCTCTTAGATGTCCTTCACTTATGAGCATCACTAGTGTTGCCAAAAGGAAAAATAAGGCGGCTACTTTTACTTTACAGTTTTTTGGTACAGTCGTACGGAATATGAGTTTACGCGCCTTTAATCTGTTCAAAGGTCTATCAATATTATATACGTTGTGGGATTATAATTTTTTTCTCAAAAGAAAATCATTTGATGCATTTCCTGATCTGCTTCAATTTCTCAAAGAAAGATCATCTAATGAAACATCGTACATATCATTTTCTATTACTTTCTAATTTCCTTTTCTTTTGCCTTCTACTGTAGTGTTTTTGGCATCACAAAATGCTGTTTTCTCATTGTTTTTGCTTATAATATTGGATTTATTCATTGTTTTTTCCTTTAATTTATCCCTTAATTAAGTTAACGCTTATATAGTAGAAAAATAGAAATCTGAATACGTGTACAAGTTTATGGAGCAGGTTAAAATACTGAACGCAAAACTGATTAATTATATAGGGAAGAACACTAAAAATACATAAAAAGCTTACTCATATATACAACTGTTGCAGAAAGAAACAGATAAATAACAAACTGCGTAAAAGAAAAACAACAAAAATTGCTCCTATAAAGAAGCTACGACTCATATATAAACAACTTACGTAGAAGGGAAAGTTTTACACTTAAAAAGTCTGTTTTACTTTCCCTCCTATACTAGTACTCTAATTTCTTAACTCTCCTACGCTAACAGACTGTTAAATACTAGTAGTAAGAAATATTTACACTCTGTCTTTTTGCGCCTCTCCTTTTGTTCCTCCCGGCGAATTCACCTCCGCCGCTGCCGCCACCGTGCCACCACATATCTCAATCACAACAGAGTCATCACCACCCTCAACGTCGTCAACGACAGGCTTCACGATTCCACGGTGGAGCAGCTGCTGCTGCGGCTGTTTCTCCGGCGATGGCGAAGATTCCTTATTTTTCACTTTCTTGAAATGTGCTTTGACCGAAAGCTCCTCGACTGCCTCTGAGATTCTTTCGACGCAATTTATGACGTCAATGAGTATAGATGCCACCGTTATTGCCGGAAAGATTTCCAATAGGTCTAATTTGTTGGACAGTAATGGGGTTTTGGTGGTGGCGAGTATGGCTTTAAAGTCATCAATGGCGGTTTTAGAATTCTTTAGGTGGTTTTCTGCGGCGGAGGACGGCGGTTGTGTCATAGTTTTGATGGAAGATGCCAATTGTTTTAAGGCCTTACTTGATTCCATGCTCATTCTTGTGCATGCTTCTTCTATTCTTTTATGAAACTCGGTTGGTGCCTGAAAATAAAGCTTATGAATTAGAGATTGAGATAAAAGTAAGAATTTAAGCTTTAACATGTAAGAAAAAAAATTACATTATCAAATCACTTAAAAAGTAATTTTCTATCCAATAACTTATGACTAATTATGAAACTTCTAGTATGAAATTAAGTCACGGACACTTGTATGGTTATAAATTATCTATGTTCAAGAAAATATGACAGATAAATTGATAACAGAAAAAGTATGAGAAACATGTTATTCACTTGTCATTCGCTTTTTCAGATAACTAATTTTGTAAAAATCTTTTTAACCATGACCATCACCAGATAGAAGTATTAATCTCACTATGCTGCAGCGTAAATATAATGAAATAATGATACAAAATAATATGGTACGAAAATGTTCTTGCAAATGAGAGAAATCGGAATATTCTTCACTAACTCCTTTGATATGGACAAAATTGACCTTAAAAAGTAGTAAAAGGAGAGCAGCCTTCTATTTCGGGGAAGGAATCGTGTTTCATCACTAATCAGAGATCATTTTAAAAGTAAGTCAGCAGTTGAGGAATGTGCAAGACTTTTTGGCATTTTTTTTTAGTGAAAAGATTACTTTTATATGAATATGAATATATATATTACCTGAGGATTGGAATTAAAGTAGGAAGTAAGTGCTTGAAGATGGCAGGCACATTCCCTAGCAAGGACACCAATCTTCAAGTATTGCTTCCATGGATGACGAAGCCTGAACGATCCATGACCTGGTTCCCACCATGCAAAGTTTGCCTATTAACATTTATTTTTAAATGAGTCAGTAATTAATATATATGAAGTGGTTCTCATAAACTAGAAAAAAAAACAAAAAATGGCATTTAACAGAGAAATATTTAATGATGGGATTATCAAAAAAAATTGTTAACATGATTGAAAATGAAATAGAAGGAAATCAAATCTTTTTAACTCACCAAAGTTTCCTCAGTGGCCTTAGAATTAAGGACGATTTTATAGGCTTGAAGGAATCCCTTATCTTCCTTAGAAGCCTTTCCACTTTCTTCAATCTCTGAAAAGCTGAAATATTCACTTCCAAAACCTGCATAAAATGTTTTTCATTCTTTCAGTTCTTTTTTGCCCCACATGAATTATATATCCGGACATTCTAATTTTCTTTCATATATTAGTGGTGTATTTAACATGTTGTAACATGCGACGTGTCTTATTCTCCGGTGACTAATCTCACTTTTTATGACAGTGTAAAAATTATTTACCACTATCAGTGAGTTTTAACCAGCGATAGTATGTTAGTAACCATCTTTAATTATCATATCAGTGCATAAGATAAAACGAAACAAATGAAAAAGCAAGTTTGCACTGACCTTCTAAGAAGGTTGCAAGCTTATCAAGATTACCACAAACAAGCTTATGAAGATCTTCACCAGCCCAAACTGGACAAACAACCAAAGAGATGATCATGCAGGTGGCGGCGCCGACAAGAATGGTGGTCAGCCGTTGATGAGCCAGTTCTAATATCTCGTCGACACGGTAACCGGAAACGGTGACCAAACTGAAGGTTAAGACGAAGATCAAGATTCCATAGTCATATTTCCTCTTCATGTGGGGAAAAAATCTCGTAAATGTACCTACAGCACCTGCATATATATTTGCCACAACGAACGTGATTAAACTTGTCATTTGTCCGTTTTTAAAGGGTATGAAAATTAGAATTGAATTATGGCAAAGATACAATTAAGTAAATAAATTTTAACCTGAAAATTGGAAGTGAATTACGTCGAAGATTAATTAGTTCTATAATTCTTTCTTATTTTAGTATTTGAAAAAATAAAAGACCAGAGGTGATATTTATGTCGCTCGTATTTTTCACAAACGCTGCCTGGTGCGTGTCCGATCGTCAAAAATAATGCATTTTTGAAGGACCCTACACGTATGAGTGCAACATCACTTTTGAAAAGTCCGAGCAATATCATCTCACATCTTTCAAATGACAATGCACTGGGATATGATTCATTCACTTGCATATCTTGTAACTACTACCAATTCTGCTAGAAAGTTTTTTATGTCATTTCAGCTGTAATAACTTTAGCAATTTGTGCACGTAAATTATTGTTTTGTAAACCATCATCCTCCTACTTTTTTCTTTTTCTGGTAAAATGAGAAATTGAAGTTACCTTTTAAGTTCTCATTTTTTTCACGAAGAGGGATTTAAATATGCTTTGACTTGCATAATATCCTACCTAGTGTAAAGACCAAAAACCCCAGAACTATGGGCTCCCCTTCTTTTCCAAACAAATCAGCAAAATATTTTGCTCCAATACCTAACGCCCCAGCCAGCAATGTGGCAAATCCTCTGTTTAGACACTTTGATAAAGTTGCACCTGAAAGGAAAAAAAGGAATAATTAATATCTCTAAAACTGAATATACACAAAAAAAAAATTATAGCAAAGAAAATTATGACAAGAACCATGAATTAAAATTATACTGACAATTCACAATTGTATATAACTTAAACTCAGAGATAAAATACAAAAGAACTTACCAGCAGTAAATTCAAAAACAACCACCACAGTTAAAACAGCCCAAATTGCAGATTGTCCAAAGCCATCATAGAGAGGCCTAAAATAGTAGAACAATGAGACTAAACTGAGAGCTAATCCCACTTTAGCTGCATGCCAAATTTTTCTGGGATCATCTTTCCCAATTTTCATTGTTTTCTTTACAATTTCCATAACTTTATCCTTCAACTTTCCTGGAAAACCCATGAAATGGGCAATGACATTAGTTTTTTCCATGAAAATGGAAGGTTAATTTTGAAAAAAATGGCTAAGTTTGCAAAGGTGGTATTATGGGGAAGAAAGGAGCTAGAATGCACAATGGAAGTAATACGTCAACCAGATGAATTATATAGTTGGCAAGAAAAGTTGGGGTGAAGTTATTTTATTCATTTACACATGAATATCTGTCTCTTCTTCGATCTTTCATGAGAAAGGACAAATATTTTTATTTAATTATATATACTTCTGTATTTGTTTAATTAGAATATTTCTCTGGATCAAAAAGGAGTGGATTTTCAGAAGTGGCTGACTGGGATTTTACTTGGATCTGGAGTATATTTAATTGCAATAATATTGAGCTAAACAGTTATTTCTCCTCCACAAGTTTTAAGAAAATGTTTTGGGGACATTCTTTACTTTTCTGTTGTATAATGTTGCTTGTGTAAGTGATCTCTATTTTAAAGAAGCAACGGCGAGTTCAAGATTTTAATGTGATGAGTTGAATATTCAAAATTATGAATTCAGAATTTAATATTTGTTGAAATTTTAGGAAAGTCTCAGTTTTTTGCTTTCTTTTTTTTCTGAACTTGCTTCATCTGGTTTGTTATAACTTAGAAATAATTAAGCAAGTGTTCCAGAAGCTTATATGGTTAATCCATTCATCTAATAATCAAATTACTCGTGACTACAAGGAACTTGCCCTTTAGCAACTATCCCAGTCAAAGTTAATCACAACTTGTATTTAATTGGGTATATTTATATAAAGTACGAAATTTAGGTTTCGTATATAGTCAATAGTGAGAACACGGTTGCAAAAGCATTTGTAGGTTAAAACCACTGGTATACTAGCTCCTTATATTTATATGACACTCCCCATTTCTTTTTTGTTTGTTCAAAAATTAATTAAAGAAACGACAGTAATTTCTTATATTTGAAATCTGTATCATTTTATACTTCTCATCTTACCACTTAATTGCTCTTATACATGTTTAAAACTACAAGTTCTAAATATACTTTTGATATGTGTCAAAAACCTTCATTTCTTTATTAAACGATCATGTCTGTGCAACATCGTCATATAAAGCGAAATAGAGGTAGTAGTTATTTTGTACCATAATCTATCTAAAAGTTGTCCGTTGCCAATTGAAAAGCACATAAATATAGATTAATATAAATGTTATAGCTAATTTATAAATATTGATAACATAATTAAGCAATTAAAATTAAAATCTCTCTAATGACTTGAGCTCTTTTTTTTGGTAAGTAAAGTACATTATTTACCAAGGGAAATATGTACAAGTATAATCAGATCCTTTGTTGGACAGATGGCCCCAACCTTGGTTCTGGACCAGCTGTGATACTACTAAACCTATTATCAATCGCCTCTAAGCAGGCATGCAACTAGAGCCGTCAAAATGGGCTTAGCCCATGAGGCCAGCCCAATTTAACCCGCTACTAGGGTAGGGTTAGGTTAAGATACTTTAAGCCCATTTTACAACTGAGGCTAAGAAGCCCCACCCAAGTTAGCCCGCGACCCTTAAGGCTTGACCGAGGCTGGACCGCGGACCAATAATTTATTTAATTCGAATTAAAATTAAAAAAAGGAAGTAAGATATAGAATGGGCTAAAGACGTAAGTCTTGAACCCTAATCATAAACGTTTCTTCCTCAACAGTCAACATACTAACGCAACTCTCTGCTTCCCTCCCCTCAGTCCTCAATTATTTATCGCTAGCTCTCTCTTGATCTTCGGCATCGACGATTTACTACAAGGTAATTAGCTTTTTTTTTTTGAGTTTACTAATCTTTCTTTCTTACAAATAAATAAGTTTAATATTTGGACTATTCAATCCATTATGTACATGACTAATGCTCTGTTTGCTTCATATTTTATTCCCATACATATGTATTTCTCCATTTTATTTTGAATTTATGTCTATTCTGTATGCATCTGTATATGTACATGGATCATATTTAGGCTTTTATTTTTGTTTATTTACATCGTGAATGCAAGATTTGGGATACATTTGGTTCAAAAGTTAAGTAAACATTTTAATAATTATTTTCTTACAGAAGTTTTACTAACTTGTCGTGGCAGTGTTTACTTTATAAACTTAACACTTCTTTTTTATTTTGTTATAGGAAGACCAATGGATGATTTAAATAGCACACATGAACATATTGATGACGTTGTGGAGGTAAATAATTCTGCAGAACCAAGTCAGAAAAAAATTAAGTTAACATCAGATGTGTGGCTTTACTTCAAAAAAATTGGCAGAGCTAAAGATGGAATTGAAAGGGCTACATGTAAAAGGTATAAGAAACCATTTAAGGTTGGTTCAACTCCGGGACCCAAAGGTAAAAACTATAGAACATCACATTTGCATCGTCATAAATCTCAGTGTCCAATGCTTAAAGTTCATGATTTGGGTCAAATGTTCTTGAATCAAGAAGGTAATATGCAATCTAGAAAAATAGATCAATGGACACACCGTAGCATGCTTGCTGAAGCTGTCACTAAGCATAATTTACCATATTCTTTCGTCGAATATGATAGAATTAAGTCTTGGGTGAATTATATAAGTCCAGATATTACGATGCCTTCTAGGAACACTTGTGTTGCAGATGTCAGGAAAGTGTATATCCGAGAGAAGGAGAAACTAAAACAAATCTTAGCAAAAATTTCTAATAAGGTATGCTTGACTTCTGATTGTTGGACATCATCTAACTCGGAGGAATATATTTATTTAACCACCCAATTTGTTGATGAAAATTGGAGGTTGGTTTGTAAAATTCTTAATTTCTGTCGTATGTATCCTCCTCACACTGGAGTTGAATTGGCTACTGCTATATATGACTGTTTGAAAGAATAGGTCATAGATAAGAAGGTATTTTCAATCACTTTAGATAATGCCATTGCCAATGATAACTTATAAAATATTTTGAAAGGCCATCTTAGGTTGCAAAAAAAATTTGTTGTGTGATGGTGAGTTCTTTCATGTGCGTTGTTCTGCTCATATTTTGAATTTAATTGTTCAAGAGGGTTTAAAAGCAGCTAGTCATTCTTTGTATTCAATAAGGGAAAGTGTTAAGTATGTTAAAGAATCGGATGGGAGAAAACAAAGGTTTGAGCAATATGTTAAGGAAGATGGAATTGAAACAAATCTTGATTTACGTTTGAATGTATCAACTAGATGGAACTCCACATATATGATACTTGATAGTGCATTTCAGTATGAAAAGGCTTTTGCTAGTCTACATTTAATAGATAGAAATTATACTTATTGTCCTACATTGGATCAATGGAGAAGGGCGGAGAAAATATTTCAATTCTTGGAGCCTTTTTATGAGACAACTAACTTGATTTCTGGTTCAAGTTATATAACATCCAACTTGTATTTTATGCAAGTTTGGAGAATTGAGTGCATGCTTGATGAGAATTTGAATAATGAAGATGAAGTTATTAAGGAAATGGCTTCAAGAATGCACGAAAAGTTTTAAAAATACTGGAAGTTATATAGCGCAATGCTTGCTTTTGGAGCAATCCTTGATCCTCGCATGAAGTTACAATTTTTAAAGTTTTGTTACTCTAAGTTGGATTCAAAATCTGCACAAGAAAAAATAGAGCACGTGAAAAATAAATTGTACAAGCTTTATGATCATTACGCAAATAAGAAAAATATTGCGAGTGCTTCTTCTAGTACTTTGACTACATCGAGTGAAGAAAGAAGTAAATTCAAAGGAAAAGGATTCAAAATATTCGATATAAGTAATTTTTTTTTCTTTTTTCACTATTCTTATTATTATTATTACTATTATTATTTGTTCTTAAGCGTAGTGTCATGTGTTTAACTTATAGGAATTCAAAGCATTTGAGAATGAATCTGCTTCCAATGATGGAAGATCAGAATTGGATATTTATTTAGAGGAGCCAAAGCTTGATTTCGATATCATGTATTGGAAGAATCATTCTGAAAAGTATTCTGACCTATCAGTAATGGCGCGAGATGTACTTAATATCCCGATTACTACTGTAGCATCAGAATCAACATTCAGTATTGGTGGTCGTGTTCTCACCAAGTATAGAAGTTGCATCAATCATGAAAATGTCCAAACACTTGTTGCTACTCGTAATTTGTTGCACGGCTTTACTCAAACTCAAAGTGGTAATAATTTTATGTGGATCTAATATCGTTTATTTTTAAAATGTAGTTATTTGTAAATGTTTAACTAATCAACATTGCATATTAATTGCAGAGGAAGATGAAGATGAAAATGTTAAGACAAATGATGGCTGATGTCATTCGTTTAATGACTTTTTTATTATACAATATTTTTTAGCAATATTACTGGGACAGTTTAATTATGGACCTAAGATTTGATCAGACACTACGTAGTAGTCTAGTAGAGTATATTTTGGTTGTTGAACTTTTATTTTTTATATTTGGATGATCTATTAATAACTTGAACAATTATTTAGTTTCCTGATTTTAATTGATAAAATTGCAATTCTGATATATACGAAGTATTGATGAATTCATAATAAAGTGTGTTTTACTTTTCTTGGTATGTTTTCAAGTCTTTTTCATTTCTTTATTAGTCATCATATCTTGATTCTTGAAACTTCATTAACCATTTGAAAGTAAAATTATCTTATAAAAAAAGATTAAAAATAAAGGGTTGGCCCGTCCTAGCCTGTGGCCCTCTTAGGGCTGGGTTGGGATGGCCATTTTAAGACCCTTTTGCGTGAAGGGCCAGCCCGTCCTACCCATCAACTTTTGTGACCCGCAAGGGCTGGGCTGGGCTGGGTCGGCCCGTTTCGACAGCTCTACATGCAGCTATGGATATACATTAAGTTCTTGCATGAAACTAGCTAATTTTGGTCTTAGACTACTCCTGTAATGCATTTCCTGGACAATCAATCATATGATGTCTTCCACTCTCATCTTCTTCTGGTTGAATATTCTACAGTTCCTTTCCTGCCACACATAGTAGATGGCGGCAGCAAGTATTAGTCTGTATACCACCCCTCTTGAGTTCCTTCCATTAGCATGCATGATGGTCCATTCAAGTTCCTCACTCCAGCCTTGTACACCTCTATGGACGTTCTGCCATGTTTATAGTTTTTTCCATACACTTGCTGAGAATTGGGATTTAAAAAATAAGTGTTGATGGCATTCTTTTTCTTCTTCACATAGCGGGTATTCTGGATTGGTGTTTATACCACATTTGATCAGCTTGTCCCTAGTGTAAAGTCTGTTGTGTATAGACAGGTATAAAATGAAGATCCATTTTGGACATCCTATGTTGTTGCATATCAACCTTTTTCAAGATACTTTTGGAAAATCTCCTCTCAATTTGTTGTAGACATCTCTAATGGAGTACTTCGTTGTATTAAGCTCCTGCTCAATGTTCAAGGCAACATCATTCAGGTACTTTTCAACTTGAATAATCTTCTAGATCATCCATGAGGCTTGTTTAGCATTGACATACCAAACGTGCCTTCCTTTTATGTAATATGTGTGTACCCTTTGGATCCATAGTCTGTCCTTTTTCTTGTGTAGGTTCCACAAGTGTTTGACAATTGCAGCCTGGTTCTATATCTGTAAGTTGGTGATGTTCAGACCCCCTGATGATTTTGGCCAGCGTAGTTTAGCCCATGATATCAAATCTTTTCTCTTGCCTTCAGTTTCTCATGTCCATAGAAACGTTTTACAAATTGTCTCAATCTTTGTCATAATTTTCTTTGGGAGGAGGAAAATCGGTGACCAGAAAGATTGGATGGCAGTTAATATACTTTTAATCAGTTGTAAACTTCCAGCATATGAGAGGAACTTGACTGTCCAGCTAATGATTCTTCCAATCATTTTGTCCAGTAGAGATTGACACTGGTGTACTGATAATCTCTTTGTGCTCATTGGTACCCCAAGATATCTGAATGGTAAAGTTCCCCTGCTAAATCCAAGAGTCTCATAATATCCTGTTGAACTCCCTCTGGAACTCCTCCAAAATAGATACAACTTTTGCTTTGATTAGCTATCAACCCTGATGCGGATGAGAATTGTTGGAAGTAGCTATGTAGAAACATCACAAAACTTTATCACCTCTACAAAATAGGAGCAAATCATCAGTAAAGCTAAGTTGAATTACTCTCAGCTTCTCACACCTTGGGTGATAGTTAAAGTCTGATTTGCTCTTCAAAGTTCTCAGTAACCTTGTTAGATACTTCATTGCCAGTACAAAAAGAAGAAAAAGTGACATAAGATCACCTTGTCTTATCCCTCTCTTAGCAGCAAAGGGAAGAGTTGGGCTACCATTGATAATGATGGAGTATGTAACTATGTTGATACAACTCATGATCCATCTGACAAACTTTTCTGGAAAGTTAAGACCTAATAGTACTTGTTCCAGGAACACTCATTCAATGGAATCATATGCTTTTTGCATGTCAATCTTGACCATGCATCTAGGAGATATGCCCCTTCTACCATAGCCTTTTACCAATTCATAGCTAAGTAAAATATTATCTGAGAGTAGTTTTCCAGGTACAAAGGCTGCCTGATTGCAACCAATGAATCCATAACATGCTGCATCCTATTTGTGATCATTTTTAGATGATTTTGTACAAAGTAGTATAACAAGATATTGGTCTATATTTTCTAATAGATGCAGGGTTTTTGGTTTTGGGAATGAGGGTAACTGATGTACTATTAATTGGTATGTACATTGCACCAGTATCAAAGAACTGAAGTACTGCATCTGTTACTTCATCACCAAGCACATGCCCAGATTTCTTAAAGAAGCAGGAATTAAAACCATCTCCACCCAGGGCTTTTGAATCATCTACCCCCTTCAAGGCTTGAGCTACATCTTCTCTAGTAAATGGTGCTATGAGCTGCAATTGTAGACTTCTACTTAGCACTGATCCCTCTTGCATAACTCCAGGATTGATAGCAGGAAGTGCCTGGGTACTGGAGCCTAGTAATCTCTTGTAGTACCTCACAATTTCAGCTTCTATAGAGTCTTCACTCTTCAGTATAGTCCCTCCTTTTGTTGATAGAGTTCTAATCTGATTTTGTGTTTTTCTACCTTTCATACTAGCATAGAAATAAGTTGTATTTGCATCCCCTAGCTTGAGCCATTGAACTATGGATTTCTGATTATATATGATATCTTCAATTAAACTCCATTTCTCCAGTTGTTGTTTGGTGTTGCTTGCTGCTTCAAACCGGTTAGCACTGGTAGCAGCATCTATCATTTGTGCTTGAATGTGTTACAATTCATCTCTCAGCCTTTGTATCTTTTCTGTGACCCTCGAGAACTCCCTTTTATTTAGGGCTAGTGCCTTTTTTACTAGTTTCAAGTTCTGAGATATACTCTTCATTCCTCTATGTTGTTCAGGCCAATATTCTTGTATTAGAAAATTGGCCTGCACAACATGGAGGAATGAAGAGTATATGGCAGAACTTGAAACTAGTAAAAAGGGCACTCAAAGCCCTAAATGAGAGGATCACACACTTCAACTTGCTAAAATTCACTTCAACTTTAATATCAAAGCTAGACTCATGGTTTAATTATATGACGTTTGACTCTCATATAAAACAATTCATGCTTTAGTTTGTAGGCTTGGACGTAGGTGTTAGAATCCAACATTGGTTGTGGATGGGGTCTGTCACGATCCGAAATTTCACCGTCGGGACCGTGATGGCGCCTAACATTTCACATGCTAGGCAAGCTGACGTTATAGAATTATTAAGCCAATTCAGTAAACAACAACAAATAAGCTAAAAGGAAATATAGCGAATGCGAAATAATATAAAAAATTTATTAATTACTACCACCCGGATCTAGAGTCACAACTCACGAGCTACTATGATTTACTAAAACCAGAGTCTGAAAAGGAAAAATACACTATTTTGGAGTAATGAAACAGTAAATGATAAAACTAGGAAGAGACTCCAGGGTCTGCGGACGCCAGCAGATTTACCTTGGGTCTCTTGATAGCAAATTCAAGCTGCTAAGCCTCACGATCAGCTAGGACCGGTACCAAAATCTGCACAAGAAGTGCAGAGTGCAGTATCAGTACAACCAACCACATGTACTGGTAAGTGTCGAGCCTAACCTCGATGAAGTAGTGACGAGGCTATGACAAGACACCCACATAATAAACCTGTGCAGATAACAGTATATGTACAAGAGAACAATAGTAACAGCTAAATATGTACTATTGGAAGGGGAAACATGCTGAGGGAAATATGAGATAGAGAACTGCAGCAGAATGGTAACTTGAACAGTCAATGTACTATGCATCACCCTTCGTGCTTTTACTCTCAATCTCACCATTAGATCAATAGAAACGGCACAGAATCACCCTTCATGCATTAACTCTCATAACATGGCACGACATCACCCTTCGTGCATTAACACTCACAATATGGCATGTCATCACCCTTCGTGCATTAAAACTCACAATATGGTACGACATCACCCTTCGTGCATTAACACTCACAATATGACACGACATCACCATTCGTGCATTAACACTCACAATATGACACGACATCACCATTCGTGCATTAACACTCTCCCTTACCATAATGCAATGAACACATAACAACATGGAGATAGAATAATAAGTACAAGACATACTTCAACATTTGGTTCCACAATATCAACCTCAACTTTTGAATCAATACTCAATTATCACCAGAAGGTCCATAAACATGATAAGAACGATCAATTTAAAAAGGAAGCTACAATTGCAAGAAACCAAGCCCCACCCGCATGCTTTAACCCGACTACAATGCATAAGTACTCGTCACCTCACATATACATTGTTCCCCAACATTTAAACATGTAGCAAATAGACAAACAAGTTTTATTCCCTCAAGTCAAGGTTAAACACAACACTTACCTCGCTCCAAAGGCCACTCAATGCTCAATTATCGCTTTTCCTCTAGAATCCACCTCCAAACCACTCGTATCTATCCACAAATGACTCAATAATATCAAATATTGCTAAAGAAATCAATTACAATGTATAAATTTAGATTTTCCAAACTTTCCCCCAAAGAGTCAAAAATCGACCCCCGGGCTCGCTTGGTCAAAACCCGAGGTTCGGACCAAAATCCATTCACCCATTCACCCCCGAGCCCGATTATGTAATTTGTTTTGAAATCCGACCTCAATTCAAGGTCTAGATTCCAATTATACAAAAATCACTAATTCTACCCAAACCCCCAATTTCCACCATGAAAATACTAGATTTTAGGTTGAAATCTCATGAAATGTAATGTGTAATTGAAAGAAAGTAGGTTAGAATCACTTACCAAAACATTGGGGAAGAAGATCTTTTAGGAAAATCGCCTCTAGGTCTTCTAGTTTTGAAATTTTTGAAAGAATGGCAAAATCCCGTTTTAGGTTCTGCTTTGAATAACTAGGCGACAATGTTCATCGCGTTCGCGTGAACACTGTCGCGTTCGCAAAGAGCTGCGCCTTAATGACTTACGCGATCGTGGGAGACTCAATGCGTTCGCGAAGGTATAGCCCGCCGCACCTTCGCGTTCGCGAGACAGGACTCACGTTCGCATAGATTCACCCCTGATTTCCCTTCCCAACCTGCCTATTGCTACGCGTTCGCGTGTGACTATTCACATTCGTGTAGAGCAATCCCCCCAATGCTCCGCATTCGCGACAGTAGTCTCACGTTTGCGTAGGAGAAAAACCCACCCAGCCCAGTTCACACATCACGTTCGCGAACGCGAAGAAGGAAACCAGAAGGCACCTGAAACTGCAGAAAAACCAGAATTTCTAAGTTCAAATCATCCTGTAGCCTATCCAAAACTCACCCGAGCCCTCGGGGCTCCAAACCAAACATGCACATAAGTCCTAGAACATCATACGAACTTCCTCGCGTGATCAAATTGCCAAAATAACACCTAGAACTACGAATCGGATACCAAATCAAATGAAATTTTCAAGAAAACTTTAAAACTTCTATTTTCACAACGGAACGTCTGAATAACGTCAAATCAACTCCGTTTCTCACCAAATTTGACAGACAAGCCTTAAATATTATAGTGGACCTGTACCAAGCTCCGAAACCAAAATACGTACCCATTATTAACAAAAGCAACATCAGTCAATTCTTAAAATTATTAAGCTTCCAAACTTTTAAATTTTTCATCAAAATTCCATATCTCGAGCTAGGGGCCTCGAAATTTGATTTCGGGCATACGCCTAGGTCCCAAATTATGATACGGACCTACCAGGACCGTTAAAATGCGGATCCAGATTCGTTTACTCAAAACGTTGACCAAAGTCAACTCAAATAGTTTTTAAAGTAATATTTCATATTCTTTACAGTCTTTAACATAAAAGCTTTTCAAAAACACGCCCGGACTGCGCACGCAACTCGAGGAGGGTAAAAAATAAGATTTTTAAGGCTTCGAATCACAGAATTAGGTTTTAAAACATAAGATGACCTATCGGGTCATCACATTCTCGACCTCTAAGACAACCGTTCGTCCTCGAACGAACATAGAAAAGTACCTGGGCTGGTGAAGAAATGTGGATATCTACTCCGCATATCTAACTCGGACTCCCAAGTTGCTTCTTCAACGAGCTGACCTCTCCACTGCACTCGAACTTAAGGATAACTCTTCGACCTCAACTGTCAAACCTGTCGGGCTAGAATAGCCACCGGCTCCTCCTCGTAAGTCAAATCCTTGTCCAACTAGACAGAGCTGAAATCTAACACATGGGATGGATCGCCGTGATACTTCCGGAGCATGGACACATAGAATACCGGATGAACAGCTGCTAAACTAGGTGGCAATGTGAGCCTGTAAGCCATCTCTCTCACTCTCTCCAGAATCTCAAAAGGTCTGATATACTTAGGGCTCAACTTACCCTTCTTTCCGAATCTCATTACACCCTTCATGGGTGATACCCGAAGCAACACTCTCTCTCCAATCATGAATGCAACATCACGAACTCTACAGCTAGCATAACTCTTCTGCCTGGACTGAGCTGTGCGAAGTCGATCCTAAATAATCTTGACCTTATCCAAGGCATCTTGTACTAGATCTGTACCCAACAACCAAGCCTCCCTCGGCTCGAACCACCCAACTGGAGACTGGCACTGCCTACCGTATAATACCTCATAGGGAGCCATCTGAATGCTCGACCGATAGCTGGTGTTGTAGGCGAACTCTGCAAGGGGCAAGAACTGATCCCACGATCCTCCGAAATCTATAACACATGCGCGGAGCATATCCTCCAAGATCTGAATAGTGCGCTCGAATTGCCCGTCCGTCTGAGGATGAAACGCTGTGCTCAACTCAACCCGCGTGCCTAACTCACACTGTACTGCTCTCCAAAAGTGCGAGGTGAACTGTGTACCTCGATCAGAAATGATAGACACGGGCACACCATGGAGACGGACGATCTCGCGAATGTAAATCTCTGCCAACCGCTCCGAAGAATAGGTAACTGCCACAAGAATGAAATGCACTGACTTAGTCAGCCTGTCCACAATGACCCAAACTGCGTCAAACTTCCTCTGAGTCTGTGGGAGTCCAACAATGAAATCCATAGTGATACGCTCCCACTTCCACTCAGGAATCTATATCTTCTGAAGTAAACCACCAGGTCTCTGATGCTCATACTTTACTTGCTAACAATTTAGACACCGAGCTATATAAGCAACTATACCCTTCTTCATCCTCCTCCACCAATAATGCTGCCGCAAGTCCTGATACATCTTGGCGGCGCCCGGATGAATAGAATACCGGGAACTGTGAGCCTCCTCAAGAATCAACTCATGAAGTCCATCCACATTAGGCACACAAACACGACCCTACATCCTCAAAACTCCATCATCTCCGACAGTAACCTGCTTGGCACCACTATGCCGCATTATGTCCCTAAGGACTAACAAATGAGGGTCGTCATATTGCCGATCTCTGACACGCTCAAACAAAGAAGATCGAGCGACTGTACAAGCTAGAACACAGTTGGGCTCTGAAATATCTAACCTCACAAACTGGTTGGCTAAAGTCCGAACATCTGAGGCATGCGGCCTCTCACCGACTGGAATGAACGCAAGGCTGCCCATACTTACTTCCTTTCTACTCAATGCGTCGGCCACCACATTGGCCTTCCCGGGGTGGTACAAAATATGATATCATAGTCTTTCAATAGCTCCAACCACCTCCTCTGCCTCAAATTGAGATCCTTTTGCTTGAACAAATACTG